TGATTAATGCCCAATGAATGGTTTTAGCTTATTCTCCAGATATTCTGGAGATATTCTGGATTTCAGAGATACATGTAGGAATGTTTAAAGCAGCTCAGGTAGCTGGCTGGGAACCACAACTTCAACTCTACTGTTCAAATTTTGCAGAAATCTTTATGTTGAATTGTGACACGTTCTGTCCCAGTATTTCAGCATTCAGCTTTCTCTAAGTCATCTGGAAGAAGTGGCAAAGTTTGTAGGTGGTACCAAACCATTAAGAAGAGTAAGTTAAGGACCAGTTCTGAATAACTGTAAATTCTGAAGACTTGTGTTTTGAAGACAAGATAATGAATTCAGCATAGATGGGAAAAATAAATAAATAAATAAATAAAAATAATAGATGCACATGGGAAAGCAGAAACACACAAGTTCATAAGCACAACAGTGGGCACTAAGATGGTCTCATAACAGCAAGCCCCATTAAAAGAAAGTTCATTGCCTCTGTGCAGTTCAGAAATAAAAGATGCATTATGAACAATTGAGAGAAGAATGTGTCATAAGGAAAATAGTTTTAGATTATATTATTCCGTGATATATCTGCAATTTGAGTATGATGTTCTGCTCTCGTTCCTCTTCTCTCAAAATTTAGAAAATCAGCAAAAAACTAAGATAAAGGGTTACAAAAACTTGTAGTAAAAGTAAAGAAAAAAAAAGTTGAGTGAGGTAGGGTATGGCAGAGACCTCGGATTTGAATGGAAAAGACCATCTGAGGAAATTTTTTTAGAGTCCTACCTATACAAAGAATATGGGACTAGTTTGGACAGGTTAAAAGCAAAGAATAGATGGTGGCAAGCTACAGCTACATGGACATTCTTCGTTGCAGGGTGCTGTGAATGCCAGAAATTTACATTAGTTCAAAATGGATTCAAAATATGCAGGAAAAATCATTGAAAAAACACAGCAATTCAAACTTAGTTTAGGCTCAGCAAGATTCTAAGCACAAATTCTGAGCACAGATTACACACTGTGAAAATTATAACTAGGAAAGACTACTTGTTTATTCATCCTGTGCCAAAGCACTTCTGCGGACAGCCACTCTTCCTGTTTTGACAAGAAGGCAGCCTGCTCGAGGGTGGCCTTTTGATTGCTCTCATATGAAAGAGTGGGAGAAAGAGCTTGTTTTAGAAGTAGCTGTTTAAAGTATTTTAGAAGACTTTTTAAATGGCAGAAATCATTACATTGAGAAAAGCCTGGGAGGGATAGATCTTTGTCTCATTTAAATAATTAAAACACAAAAATTGTCTGTGAATGTATAATTTTGGTCATATTTCATTTTATTCCCTAGGGCTTTTACATATCTTAAATTCCATCTTCGTTGTCTGTCAGCACTCAGTCGAGTTAGAGAGCTCTCTTAGTTTCTTGTAGCATCAGGATAGATCTACTTTATTGTGTTCAACATACATCTTATATACCATTCACTTACAAACAAAAAACTTCCTGCTCCTCTAACAGTTCCTCTAATCAGTTTATTGGCCTTCTCCCAAACAACAGTGATAAAGGATGAGAGGTTTCTCAAGTGTGACAAGATTAACAACGCATACAAAAGAACCTCCTGTTTACCCTTTGACACAAACAGACACCATTTGCTGTCTTACACTCCTGTCTCCCAAGGTTTCACAGTGATAGGGTCTATCAAGGAGTCTGATAAGCTCCTTGGTGACTCACTCAGAGTTGCATCTCCCCCCACACTTGTCTTTGCTTTGTTCCAGGCTTTTTTCTTATCCCTCGGCTGTTTCTATAAGGGTGGATTTTTATTTTTCAGAAGCATATGCCATTGCTTCTGAAAAATCCAATGTGCCATATGTAGTAACTATTTTTTTCAAGGTAGGTAAATGCTTATCTCCCTTCCATGTTAAGGTAGATATACTGCAATCCATGCTTAGGTGTGCTATCTTTAAGAATCTCTTTGACTGCATGTATCTGCATAGTCTGCCTCTTTTACTGAGGGGAAAAAAAAAAGCTTTTTTTTTTTTAATCTGTTTTCTTGAAACACATTAGAAGCCTCCAGTATGCATAGATTCTTTTGGTTTATAGGAGAATAAAAGTAGCACAGCAATAGAATATTCAAACAATCCAAAGCTGCCAATTCTATTTACTGCCCTTTCTTCAGTTTCTCTGTGGTCTAAAGCTTTGTTTCAAGCATTTTTACTTTCTATTATATTATGCTGCTAGAGGAAAATGACTGCTCTGTAAGATCCACCTTTGCATCTGATGCAATCAGTGCGAATTTTGACATTGTTTTCAAAAATAAGAGTAGCCAAAGTCCTTTTTTTTATATCCTCTCCTTTCCTTTGATGATGTTGATACCTCTACACTGTGATTTATGTTTTTGAAAGGTAATTGCCTACAATTCCAATTTTTTGCAGTTCACAGAACTTCCACGCTCCAGGGGAAGCTGAACTATCCACCTCTGAGTCCATTCATTCTTATTCAAGACTATAGACAAGTACCACGCTATTTTAGTAAGTGGATACAATGAAGGCAGAAATTGCAGGTTAAAAGACTGTGATATCCTCTTTGAACAAACCTCAGAGGCAGTAGAAAGTGCAAGATAATGAAGAATCACTACTTTAATGTTTACACTGTCTGGATTTCTTGGTTTTACATACACATCTTCAACATCTCGCATATTCCCTTTCTTCTTTGTGATCATACATACATTTCCTTATCCTTAAAGAAGATATTCAAGGTCATCCTTGGAATTGTTTTCTTTTGTTTCTCAATTGTTCTCAGAACTTCAGTATCTAATGAAAGCAAAATGCACAAATGCAGACTTTCTATTTTTTGATAGCTCAAAATTCACTTAACCAGTGTTAAACACTGGGCCAGTCAGAATTGCAATTCATATCAAACTGTAGATGCTAAATCACTCTCAGATTTGTGAACTATTCTTCAGAACATCCAGACCCCCACTGTCCTCTCTCACACGGAACAAGAACTTAGTCAACAATCAATTTCACCGTTTATAATTTCCATTGCTTCACCTGGCAGGGAACATAAAGCATATCAAATAGGATTTCTGTTCACCCACTGCATGTGATTGATTGTATCATCAATGAAAACAAGAAAACAACCTGAGTGAACTCAAATGGAATTCTGAAGGCTGCTTTCCTTATCCCAGCCAACAATTCCTCTTTCTATGCCTTCTTACTAAAATGACATCCAATTAAGAAGAAAGCAAGGAAGGCAGGAAGGCAGGAAGGCAGGAAGGCAGGAAGGCAGGAAGGCAGGAAGGAAGGAAGGAAGGAATCATTTGACAGACTTAGAAAAGAATCCTTGGGACATTATGATCTCACAGATATAGATGGTGTCAACAAATGTACTCAGTGGAAATTATCATGATTCAGCACTGATACATTCCATCTCAGTTTGTGGTGGTTGTGCTGACTTCCCACATCACACTTTCCGTGGTGAAAGGAAATCTGACACCAAATGCCAACATCTATTCCACAGAATGTAAGCAGGAGTGCAGCTCTTCTGCAGACAGACCGCCTGTGTAGGGTAAGAATGAACGTTGTTGTGCAGTGCTCATGCACTTGCAGCCTGGGAAGATGTTCTTCCTCCTATCACTTCTTTAAATATCTTGTGTTATCCTGTGTCATTACTCACAGTGTGGTTGTCGTGAGATATAGCACTCTGTGATAGAGTTGCATTTCAGCTGTTCATTGCAGAGCCTCAGCCTTCCAAGGGGAGGATAACAACAAAGTGAAGATAAATTGATGATGAGACAGAGCTGTGGGGAATCCTGCCACTCTGACAATTCCTCATGCTGCCTTGGAAAGTCTGTTGTTAGTACTGAATCTGATGATTTCTCTCAACAAGGGAAACAGCACAAGCCCAGTACAGAACAGGAATAATTTCCTCTGTAGTGTCCAAATCAGTCATAATGTACACATCCTTAAGGCAAACACTGATGGATCTCTTTCACCTAAGCCCATCTATTAAACTGCCACGTGTTTCAAAAATATGGACAAACAAACAAAAAGACAAAACCTTCCTCATTAATAAGCACTTTTCTCATAAATGAAACTATTTAACATTTGTGTATATCTACTTCTTGTCTTCCGTGATTTGGCACTGCAAAGGACACCTCTTGAACACAGTTTTGTCTCTTGCTTAGAGCACTCTCATCTCCCTCCAGTGACTAATTCAACACTCATTAATCACCTTGTTTTTTTTTAAAGGACACTGCTAATACAGTCAAACAGTCCACCCTTTTTCAGCAGCACTTTTAAGAGGCGCTATATTAGGAAAATGTTTTTTCCTTTCTTCTCTATCCAATCTAGATTTACATGTGAGTATTTCCCTGGAATAGCCTACAGCTGAGTAATTACACTGAAGAACAGAATTTTCCATCCAAGTTTCATGAAAAATGAGAGCAGTAGGTAATACCAGGAGTTTTTTAAAATATATGTGAACAGTCTGTTTAAGCTGAACACATCACTGTCTACAATCACACATTTTAACAGAATAACATTGCTTTGTGGCAAAACAAAAATAAGAGCAGAGTTGCCTTTCCTGCTACAGGGTGTTAGTTCTGTCAGAGTGACTGAAGAGCCTTTTTTTTCCTGAAAATTTGACAGCGTGGCACTGGAAAGTGTAATACATTTTCCGTCCACTTTTCCTGTGGGAAAAAGGGTTTCAGAAATGTGGTTCTGATGTTACCTGCTTTCTGTTAGAAGCATGCCATGCACATTTGGAAAGTTTTCCTGCTTACCAGACAGGTTATCCTCTGCTTGAAAGGAATTCCATCAGAGCAAAGGTTTTGGGATTGGTTATCTTGTCTCTCCAAAAAAGAAAAATGCTAGCATCAACCTTTCTAGAAGAAAAAAATGTTCAAGTGAACAGTATATTCATGTACAGAAGCATTGTATTTGCAAGCCTTTTTTTTTGTCTGACTTCATCCAGAACCAACACAAGCATATGGGCTCCACAGGGCTGCTGTGGAAGAGATAGCTGGGATGAAGTTGGAGCAGACTGCAGAAGGACATAAAATCGAAGCAAAACTTGGAAGTTATAAGGCAAGTGGTGGTGAAAACAACAGCAGAACCAGAGCTGCTGAGTCCCAGTCTCTCCTCTGCATTAATGACTGATCTTCCCAGGTGTGATTCTCCTTCTCTGGAGATGTTCAAGACCTGCCTGGATGCCTACCTGCGCGACCTGCTGTAGGGAACCTGCTTTGGCAGGGGGGTTGGACTCGATGATCTCTGGAGGCCCCTTCCAACCCCTACAGTTCTGTGATTCTGTGATTCATCATTGGGAAGTGTATCTTTATCTACATCTGTATTTTAATCTACATCCCTACTCACCATGTTGATTATTGTACAGGAGAGAACCTGACTGCTCTTCTAAGTTATTTCCAACAGCTTGCTAAGTTTCCAATCTTTCACACAGCACTAGCTGCTTTTCACACAGTTCTAAGTGCTGTCAGTCAGAGCACTATGGCTGTTTAAGTTTTTTTGTGAGACTGTTGGACAGAAGTAGGTTACCCTTTTATGGCTAGACAAACATTCCACAAAATCTTTGTTATCACATGCATCTCTTTGCAAATATCACTTTGATGAAAAAATGTCTCTGATAGAATTATAGAATCATAGAACTGCTCAGGTTAGAAAAGACCTTAAAGATCATCAAATCCATCCACAGCCTAACCATACTACCCTAACTCTAACAACCCTCTGCTAAATCATGTCCCTGAGCACCACATCCAAACAAACAGTTTCTAAACACATTCAGGGATGATAACTCAACCATCTCCCTGGGGAGCCTATTCCAGTGCTTAACACCCTTTCTGTAAAGTTTTTCCTGATATCCAATCTAAACCTCGCCAGGCATAACTTGAGGCCATTTCCCCTCATCCTGCCACCTGTCATCAGTGAGAAGAGACCAACCCCGCTCTCGCTGCAACTAACTTTCATGTATTGGAAGAGAGCAATAAGGTCTCCCCTCAGCCTTCTCTTCCCCAGACTAAACAGCCCCAGTTCCTTCAGTCTCTCCTTGCAAGGCATATTTTCCAAGTCTTCCACAAGCCTTCTTGCCCTTCCTTTGATCTGCTGCAGCACCTCAGTGTCCTTTCTGTACTGAGGTGCCCAAAACTGAACACAGTACTCGAGGTGAGGCCTCACCAATCCTGAGTACATGGGCAGAATGACTTCCATAGTCCTACTCACACCATTCCTGATACAAACCAGGATGCCACTGGCCTTCTTGGCCACCTGGGCACACTGCTGGCTCATATTCAGCTGGCTGTCCATCAGTCCACCAAGGTTCTTTTCCTTTCCATCCGGCAGCTTTCCAGCCACTCCTCCCCAAGCCTGTAGGGTTGCCTGGGGTAGTTGTGACCAAAATGCAGGACCTGACACTTGACCCTACTGAAACTCATACAATTAACCTTGGCCCATCAATCCAGTCCATCCAGGTCCCTCTGTAGTGCCTTTCTCCCCTCAGGCAGATCAACACTCCCTCCCAACTTGGTATCATCTGCAAACTTATTGAGAGTGCACTCAACCCCCTCATCAAGATTGTTCATAAAGATGTTAAATAGAAGACAGCTGAAGGAGGAGCCCTTCTTGTTGTCACTGGGATGCCTTAAGACCTGAGATGAGGAAAAAAGGTTTTGACTGTAATTCACTCCAGGATTTTTATATACCTTTGCAGCTATCACTATGAATCAACTGAACTACCTGCCCTTATGTACCAAAGTAAGAAGAAAACAATGTGATATAATCTATGTATCGAAAGAAGTGTTTCTGACAGTTCCGGAGAAGTGATTGTTCCCCTCCACTCTGCCCTCGTGAGGGTCCATTTGGAGTACACCATCCATTACTGGGGCCAACACAAGAAAGATGTGGAACTATCGGAGCAGGTGAAGAGGATGGGCAAGAAGATGAACAGAAGGTTGGAGTACGTTTCTGAGAAGGAAAGGCTGTTGGAGTGAATTTTTTCAGTCTGCAGAAGAGAGGGGTGTGGGGAGACCACATTGTGAACTTCAGTACATAACTGAGCCTACAGAAAAGCTGGAGAAGGAAGCTTTACCTCGGATTGTACTGGCAGGACTGGGCATAAGGGCTTTAAACTGAAACCAATACATTAGATTAGGTATAAGAAGGAAATTCCGGAGAGGCTGGTGGGGCACTGGGAAAAGCTGCCCACTAAAGTTGAGGAGGTGTTCCAGGTCAGCTTGGATGGGGCACAGGGCAACCTGGTCTAGCAGGAGGTTTCCCTGCCCAAGGCAGGGAGGGGATGAAACTGAATGGTATTTGATGTTCCTTCTAAAATCATTCTATGATTCTCTTCACTTATGTAGATTGCCTGTCCATCACTTCTTTCCACAGGTCTTTTTGTGACAGTCATCTGAAGACAATGTAATTGTTCACATAGATATGCACTCATTAGTTGAGTAGAGGTTGTAGTGTCCTACCCTTAAAATTCAAGTGCGTTAATGAAAGGAAATATCTGGAGTGCTTATGAGCTGGTGAGCTTAATTAAAGTGCAGATTTGACTTGAAAATGAACATAGAACTGTGGCAATTACTCGCTGAAAGGTTTTCCCCAAGAAATATGTTTTTGAAATATATTTTTAAGTTAGTTTTTTCTCTATTAGAAGAGAATAATAACTCTTGATTATTTATGTCAGAACATTTAAGATGATTTATTTTCTTTTCTAAACTACTGCCATCCCCATGAGTCTCAAATCGCATAATAAATATTTCTGCATTTCAGGACTTTCTCTTCGAAAGAAGATAAAATACTTAAAATTTAATCCTTGCTTCAGGTAAAATTCTGGAGAGAAAATCCTTTAGTTTTTGAAGAACAAGAAAACACTGTGATTCTCATTGCCAAGGTCTAACTTACTGTCTTTTCTGTATTTTATCTAAGAAATTCATGCTTTCTTCTTTCCTTTCTTATTGTAGTCTCCACCATAGTGAGCAGAGATTTCCCTCTCATCAGTGCTCTACCAGTGGTGCTGGTGGTGGCTGCAATCAGAAAGGCAAGTCCTCTCCTTGCTTTCTCCTGTACTGCTTTTCTGAACACTGTAACAAAATAATACACGGGGTTTCTTCTAAGCACAGTAAAGTCTTTGTCCTGACTTTCTTGAATTTTGTCATCCAGAGATGAGGTGCTGAAGACGGAATATAGGAGAATTCACTGGTGCCATGGGCCTTATGCAGTTGTTCAATTACTTGCTTTTTCCCATGTCTTTTGTTTGCTTTTGCCTCATTTTCTGTCAGTGAGCACTGTGGTTTCAAAGAAGTCTTTTCCCTTATGGATTATCTGATATCTTTTCATGAAGGAAAGATTTTAGTGTCACACATCCTTTATTTTACATTTAAGGTGCTTTTCTGTCAAACCAGAAAGACTAAAGGCTGCATTTGTAAGCAACCAATCAACCTGGAGACAGATGACAATGAGCTTAATCTTAAGTGTGCTTTATGGCAACTTTTACACTCGTAGCAATTTGCCAGTTAATGACACGCACACACACAAAAAGCGAAGCCTTAAAGAATCAGGAAAACTGATGTGAAGCTAACCTGAGTAGGATAGAGGGCAGGTGTTCAGCTTTAATTTTCTAAAGAACTTGGCAAAAATGTATACTTCTTTTCACAAACAAAACAAGACGCAAGTAGAGGGAGAGAAGGCAAAATCTTTAAAAAAAAGAAGTCAACATCTAGTCAATACTGATTAACAAATAACAGAACTCTCACTGCTTTTCTTTCAGTAGGCCTCAATAAAGCTGTAGATGACTCATATGCGTGCAGAAATCTTAGTCTAGTGTCTCACTTAAAGAATAGTAAGAAAATAATATCAAATAGCCCAGCATAAACCTTCATTATTTGTCAATTACCTATTAGGGAAGCAGCCAAGGAAGATGAGTGAAGGTATAAATATATACGATACACAGCTTTTGCTGGTAGTAAAATATATTTATCTCAGTACTATTTGAACATCGTCTTGAAGTTGACAATTTAAAATATAGCTTCTTTGAAAGAATAAATTCCATTTAAACACAGATTATCACTGAATTTTAATTAAGCCTTTTCTTAAAATTTACTGAATGTATTCTACAGTACTAGCATACTCAGTTGTTCGCCAGTTTTTCTCATCATACATGGATGACTGTATAATGGAACATAAAGGAATTGTAAATCAAAATATAGTAGCATTTCACATTATCACTTGTCTTGTGGCTTACACCTTTACACATAGTATAATTCTGCCAGCACTTACGAAGCACACAAAAGCTTTCCCTGATAAATGGCACCAGCCTATGGAGACCTGACTTTAGGCTGAATGTTTACTGGATTGCAATTCCAAAATATTAAGATATAACAAACCAGCCACATATTAGCTCTGTTTTCTTCTTTCAAAGTATACCTTGCAGTGAGCTACCATTCCTCCTTTTCTTTTGTTGTTATGTTGTTTTGTTTTGTTCCCACAGATTGGCAGAAAGATGTGCTAATACTGAACTTCAGTAACCTGATACTCCCATTCCTCAGCTAAATCACTAACAAGATCAAATGCATAGAAACATAAATGAAACACCTTGAAATACATTATAGAGCTGTAAGACCAAAAATAAAATCAATCAGTGCAACACTGTGGACAACACCCATCAGCTAAAACTCTCCTTGATTGATCCTCCCTAAAGCAGCAATGAACTTGCTGATAAAATATAAAAATAAGTAAAAAGCAAAAACCCAGTAAGCCCTACATATGTATTTAATTACCCTCTACAGATGCATTAGGTGCAGTGTAAATGGGAAAATTACCCTGCATGCACTGACTTGAATTTCTAATGATGCATTGTATGTGCTCTACGCTCATTGCACTTAGCTGATATCATGCTGCGATCACATTTGTAGCTTCCAGTATCCATCATGTTTTGACTCTTTGCAAGGTTTTAAGTCTTACACAGGCCATTTATTTTTTAGCTATTCCTTTGTTTGTGTGCTTGTATACATCATTAAGCAAACTTTTTTTTTCTCCAAGTGCATGCAAATTATATATGTGAATTGCTAAAT